GGAGGGACGAGGAGGAGGAGGAGGAGGCGGAGGAGGAGGAGGGGCGAGGAGGGACGAGGAGGGTCGGCGCACCGAGGAGCTGGTCGGCCCCATGGAGGGCGCCCTGCGCTTCGCCCTGGCGGTGGCCGCCGTGGAGCGCCTGGTGGAGAGCAGGGCCGGCCGCCCGAGGAGGAGGAGGAGGAGGAGGAGGAGGAGGAGGAGGAGGATAGGGAGAGGAAGCCGCGGGAGGAGGCGGAGGAGGAGCAGGAGGAGGAGGAGGAGGTAGGAGGAGGAGGAGGAGGAGGAGGAGGGGACAGGGAGGAGGAGACGAGGAGGAGGAGGAGGAGGAGGAGGAGGAGTGGGGAGGAGGAGGAGAGGGGAGGCGGAGGAGAGGAGGAGAGGAGGAGGGGGGAGGAGGAGGAGGAGGAGGGGAGGAAGGAGGAGGAGGAGGAGGAGGAGGAGGAGGAGGAGGAGGAGGAGGGATGGGGACAGGGAGGAGGAGGAGGATGAGGAGGGGAGGAGGAGGAGGAGGGGAGGAGGAGGAGGAGGAGACGGAGGAGGAGAGAGGAGGAGGAAGCCGCGGGAGGAGGAGGATGCGAGAGGAGAAGGGGGACAGGGGAGGAGTAGGAAAAAGGAGGAGGAGGAGGGAGGGGGAGGAGAAGGAGGAGGAGGAGAAGGAGGAGGAGGCGGAGGGGGCGGAGGAACGAACGAGGGAGAGGAGGGAGGAGGGAGGAGGAGGAGGAGGAGGAGGAGGAGGAGGAGGGGGAGGAGAAGAAGACCTTCCCTCACCCCCCGTCCATATGTCCTCCTCCCTGCGTGAAAGGTCTTAGCCGGGGACACCACCGCTTCACAAGAGGAAGTCTGGTTGCCCGGACCAGAGGCCAGAGGGGCCACCACCAGAGCCACGGGCAACGATAGGGTGGGATAGGCATAGGGGGGGATGCATCGACCCCCGATAGGGGCGAGAGCCCCAACCTGCCTAGGAACCTGCGGATTCACGATTGGGGGCCTATGGCCGATCTATCGGCGATGTATCGCCGATTCGAGGTCGATGTTCCCCCCCCCCCTATGCCAGTCCCCCCCTATCGTTGCCCCTCACAGAGGAGCCCAACATTTTGTCATTAGAAGCGGCGCAGAAGCCGCACCAGCAAATATTCGACGCATTGTTAAGAAAGTGGTGGGTCTCTTTGTCTGCGCCGACCCTTGAAAGTGGTGAGAGACAAGAGGAAGAGGTCAGGAGCGGGAGGAGAGGGAGGAAGGAGTCGGAGAAATGTGGGCCAGAGAAAAAGGAAGGCAGCAACTACAACAACAACAACAACAACAACAGCAGCAGCAGCAGCAGCAGCAGCGGCAACAACAACAACAGCAACGGCAACAGCAACAATAACAACACTACCATCAATACTAACAACACCAACCAGCAATAACAGCCACAACAGCAACAGCAACACAAAAAGCAGCAGCAATAACGAACAGTTTAAGGCCGTTCGCTCTTACCTGCTCGAGTGTCATTCAACGCGTATTTCCCAAACCCTCGATACCCGCCCTCATCGTCTTCGATCGTACCTTTTTAGGGGGAGGGGTATACCTTTCTTCCCTGCAGGCCGGGCCCCGGCAAGCGGCGGGCCCACCGCGGACCGTCGGCTTGGCCAGCGGCCGCGCTGATCGGCGGCGACCCGACCCCAAGAGGGACGGACAGGGGACAGACCACGACGACGACGACGACGACGACGACGACGAGCAAAAGCGAGAGCGAGAGCGAAAGCGACAGCGGGGCCACGAAGGGCAGGAAGGGGGCCACGAAGGGCGACAGCGAGGCCACGAACGGCGCGCGTATGGGGCCACGAAGGGCGCGGAAGAGCGGGGGCCACGAAGGGCAGGTATGCGGGGCCACAGAGGGCAACGACGGGGCCACTGAGGGTAGCAAAGGGGCCACGAAGGGCAGCGAGGGGGCCACGAAGGGCGACAGCGGGGCCACGAAGAGCACGCGGGCGGGAAAGAACGGGGGCCGCAGAGGACAAGGGCGGGACCACTGAGGGCAGCAACGGGGCTACGAAGGGCAGCGAGGGGGCCGCGAAGGGCGCGAACGAGCGGGGGCCACGAAGGGCATACATATACGGGGCCACGAAGGGCAGCGAGGGGGCCACTAAGGGCTACAACGGGGCCACGAAAGGCAGCGAGGGGGCCACGAAGGGCTGCAACAAGGCCACGAAGGGCAGCGAGGGAGCCACGAAGGGCTGCAACGGGGCCACGAAAGGCAGCGAGGGGGCCACGAGGGGCATGCGTTTGGGGCCACGAAAGGCAGCGAGGGGGCCACGAAGGGCTGCAACGGGGCCAAGAAGGGCTGCAACGGGGTCACGAAAGGGCTACAACAGGGTCACGAAGGACAGCGAGGGGGCCACGAAGGGCTGCAACGGGTCCACAAAGGGCAGCGAGGGGGCCACGAAGGGCTGCAACGGGGCCACGAAGGGCAGCGAGGGGGCCACGAAGGGCTGCAACGGGGCCACAAAGGGCAGCGAGGGGCCACGAAGGGCAGCGAGATCCCGATTCCGAAAGAAGCCTCGGGGGAGTCCTAAGCGTGAGCGCGACTCCTGGTTGCCTGAGTGTCGGCAGCGTGGCGATTGAGTAAATGTCGGGGAGTTCCGACGCAAGGGCGCGATTCTTGAATAAAATGCAAGCAAGTCTGCAGCGAGAGCGCGACTTCAGAGTGCCGAGAGAGCGGTACCTATTATGCGCAAGGAAATCCCAAGCGAGAGCGCGTTTCATGAGTAAAGTGAGAAGAAGTCTCAGGCGGGAGCGAGGGCCCTGACTAAGTTGTGAGGATGCCGCAGGCGGGAACCGTTGTTGTTGCAATCCTGTGGCCAGGGGCCCAGTTTGAGCCCCGTGACTTTCCCTAATCAGAAACAGGGTGCGAGCCCCGGGGGAAGCACTTCAATTGAAAAACACAATTGTCACCAGAGAGTGTATCAATAATATTCGTTGTTTTGATAGTTTAACGAAAACAATAACGACGACGACGACGACGACGACGACGACGACGACGACGACGACGACGACGTTCACGACGCGGCGACGACGGCGACGACGACAACGACGACGACGACGACGTTGACGACGGCGACGACGGCGACGACGACGACCACCACCACCACTACAACGACGACAACAACGACGACGACGGCAACAACAACAGGACGAGGTTGAGGGTGGAGGACGGGTGATGTGGAAGGAAAGGGGAAAGGGGAAGAGGAAGAGGAGGAGGAGGAGGAGGAGGAGGCCGAGGACCATCGCATTATGAGGAGCGGATAGATTGTTTCCTTTTTTTTCTGGAGCTCTCTGATGCCAAATGAGCGTGCTCAGGTATATTCGGCGAGAGACATCCTGAAGGTCTGGTTCAAAGCGTGCCGCTTTCCAGGGAGGGTCTTCTCGTTTTGTTTTACGGTGCGCGTTTTCCTCTCTGTTCTCGGGCTCGGTGGGTAGTTTGTTTCAGGCGGGGGGGGGTCCTCCTCCTCCTCCTCCTCCTCCTCCTCCTCCTCCTCCTCCTCTTCCTCCTCCTCCTCCTCCTCGTCCTCCTCCTCGTCCTCGTCATCCTCCTCCTCGGCCTCCGCGTCCTCCTAAATCGTTCTCTGAACAGGGTTGCTCCTTGGGAAGCGTTGCTGGCCGCCCGTCTGCGATCTTCCGTTGACGTTTCGCTCAAGCTTTTCCCCACGGGGGCATGGTGCCTCCGTGGGCGGTCGGAGCCCCCACCCAGCTATCGCACGGCGTGGCCTCCTGGTTGAGTCGGGCACCCCCGCCGCCGCCGTGCCCGGCGCTGGAGTGCCCGGACTGCCATTGCGCCTGCCCCGCGGTGCCGCCCTGCCCGGCCTGCCCAGGGGCGCCGGCTCCTCAGTGCCCGCTGCAGGAGCGGGCTCGCGCCCCCGCGGCGCCCGCGGCCCCGGGACGACCGTGGCGTCGCTCGTGATCGGCATCGCGCTCGGCGACCTTGGGAGGTGGAGCGATGGCTGCTGCTGCCGCCGGCGCCGTGCCCGCGCTGGACGGAGTGGACCAGGTGGCGTACCTCCTGTATGCAGTCCCGGGGGCGCCCCTGTGGCACCAGCGCTGGAACTTGGGGCGGGTGGTGTCCTGTCCGAGTGACGCGATCTTGGTATCGCCGGACCACCAGGTGCAGTGCGAGGTGGTGGACGGGACGTCGGCCGACATCAGCGCGGTGAGGTGGGCGCCCGCCCTGGCCCCCAGGCCACCGGGCGTCGTGCGGGCCTACCGCTTCGCGAGCCCCCCGACCGCGGCGGAGGTGGCGGCCTGGCTCCCCGACGCCCAGGCCGAGGCTCGGCGCTGCTTTGCTCGGCGCCACCCGGGCGTGGCCGTGCCGGCGCCCGTCTTCGAGGCGTGGCCCTGGGCTGCGCCAGGGGCGCCGGCTGCCGCCGCCGGGGCCGCCCCAGCCGCGCTGGCCGCCGCCGCCGGGCCGCCGGGCGGAGCCGGGGTCGTCGTGCCGGCGGGGGGCCCGCCGCCCGCGGCGGCGCCCGCCGCCCCGGTGCCCGCGCCCCTGCCGGGCGGGATGATGCGCCGAGGAGGAGCGGCCGCGGCGGCTGCGCCGGCCGCGGGCGGCGGAGAGGCGGGCGGTGCGCCAGCGCCCGCGGGGGCAGCGCTCGCAGCGGCCGTGGTCGGGGGGGCCCGGCCCCTGGTGCTGGCGGGAGGCGCCGGCGGCGCTGTCCCCGCCCCCGTGGGCAACTGGCGCGTCGCCCAGGAGTGGAGGGGCTATCACTACGGCGATGTGATCACCCCCCCAGCTGGCTTCGCGGGGACGGGCACCCCCGCCCGAGGAGTGGTCCCGCTCGCAGACGGGTCGTCTCTCTTCGTCGAGTGGGTGGCCCTCGGAGACGAGTCGGACTTCGCCGACCGGGCGGTGGCGCCCGACTGCCGCCTGCTGCCGGTCCGCCTCGATCGCGCTGGGAGGCCCTTCCGGACGCTCGAGAACCTCGTCGAGAGCTGCCGCCAGGAGCACCTCCCCGACTTCATCGCGCCGAGGACCACCATGTGGTGCCTCGAGCACCTGGCGGGCGAGGGGCGCTCTCTCGAGTCCCACTTCGAGCACTTCAAGAAGCTGTGCGGCCTGCAGGACACCCAGTGGGGCATGGAGGAGTACGCCAGCGTGATCAGCTACCTTGAAGGCGTTGCTCCAGCATGATCAGGTGGACGCGTCCAACATCCTGTCGGTGGAGATGATGTTCCGCCGGCTCCAGACGATCGAGTATTGCTACAGCGACAAGTTGCGCGAGAGGACGGCGGGCTCTTCCGGGGAAGGCTCACCGCCGACGAGCAGGCCGCCTTCGGCGCCACCGCCCGGGCCGAGTCGAGGCTCATGGTGTCGCCCGCGCTCCTCGAGAGCGCCAAGCAGGAGCTGGAGCGCGACGCCTCGCTGGCCAAGAGCCTCCTGAAGGCGCGCGAGGCCCGGGAGTCGCTGGGCCGGCGGAGGCAGGGCCAGGGGCAGGGCCAGGGGTGATGCTCGACCGCCCCCCCCAGACGTCCCTCAGGTCTGGTGGGGGGGATCCCAACATGACTGGGGATGCTCGGCACGCTGTCGCGCCGCCGGGAGATTTTGGCAGGAACGTGGGGAGGGATCTGCTGCCTTTCCCCACGGAGCTGCTCACCTCGTCGGGGCCACCTGCACCTGGGCTCTCGCGAGGTTGCCGGCAGAGAGTCGGCCGTCGGCAGCGTCGTCACGCCGACGTTCTTCGGTGCTTGGAGGGTCTCAACACGATATACGGCCGCCGTGATGGGGTACCTGTACCTGCTGATCTGAGCCTCGGGCAGCAGCATATGCTCGAGCATGTTGAATCCTCTGTCTCTTTCCTGGGGCCTCCCCCGGATGATCTTTCGCAGGCGGCAGCCCTCCAGGCGCTGCGCCTCGGCCTCCCCTACGACGCAGGGGGGGGCCCCGTGGGCTATGAAGCCTCCCGCGTGTCCCTCCCGGCAGCTGGGTCTGCCCCGACTCCGCTCGCTCGGCTCTGGGGATCCGGCGGGGAAAGCACTGTTGCACGCTTTGCTGAGTCGCAAGTTTTGCCCACCGACGTGGCTCGAACGAAATTAAAGGACTCGGGCCCCCTTCGGCCCTACGGTGACCCTCGCCTCCACTCCCCCTCTCTGCACGGCGAATTCATTCAGCGATTGGTCGAGGCTGGCGTAGTCGAGTTGACGCTCGAGCGAGCTACCGAGGTGGTGGATTGCTTCTTTGTAAAGAAGGGGGGCGGCAAGCAGCGCCTGGTCGTCGACTGTCGACGGTCTAATCAGCATTTCGAGCCGCCCGCCCCTGTCAGCTTAGTGTCTGGCGATACCCTCGCCCAGGTGCATGACGACGAATCTTTCGGTCAGCCCGTGTTTATCGGCCAGGTCGATATAAAAGACGCTTTCTATCACATGGAGCTCCCGGAGGGGCTCCGCCAGTTTTTCGGGCTGCGTAAAATTCGGGCCTCGTGGGCGGGCATCTCTCATGTCCAGGGCGTCCGGGTGTCCCCGGGGACCTGGGTCACCCCTCGGATGCGAGCCCTGCCCATGGGCTGGCCCTGGGCCCTCTGGTGGTGCCAGGCGATCCACGAGCGGGCGGCCGAGGAGGGAGGATCCCCTGCTGCAGCCCGGCTCGCGGACGGCCCCCCCCCGCCCCCCCTCGCCTCCTCCCCTCACGCGCAGTGCGTTGATAACTATGTTGTGATTTCGACGAGCGAAGCGGTTGTCCGCGAGCGCTTGGCAGGAGTGTCTCGTGCCCTCGAGTCTCGCGGGCTGCCTCTGCATAAAGAGTCTGTCTCATGCGATCGGGCCGTCGTGCTGGGGTGGGAAATCGATTGCCTTCGGCGCACCTTCCGCCCGACCCCCGAGCGCGTCTGGAAGGCTCGTCTCGCCATTCGGGGTATTTTGGCGCGGGCCTCGGTCTCTGGAGGGGACTTGGAGCGCCTCCTGGGCCATCTGTGCTTCATCGGCCTGTGTAGGCGAGAGTCGCTCAGCGTCTTCAAATATTGTTACAGGTTCTGTGAGGCCGCGCGGAGATGCCCAGCCCGGGGGCCTCGGGCCCTCTGGGCCTCAGCACGAAAGGAGCTCGACATCTGGGACCGTATCGCCCCGCTCATCTGGGTCAACACTTCAGCGGGTACCTGTCCGGACGTCGTCGTGGTGGACGCGTCGCCGTGGGGCCTTGGGGCCGTTCGGGGACGACCTCCGGTGGCCCTGGTCAAGGAGGCCTGCCGTCACTCGGAGCGAGCTGGGGCTCGGGAGGCGGCCCGGGAGGGGCGGCCACCCCGTGAGCGCGCTTTCGCCGCGGCCGCTGCACAGCTGCACGGGGGTGAAGGGGAGGCCGACAGGCGGATCCTGATGGAGCTCGTGCGGCCCCAGTCTCGACACGACCGACCCGAGAGCGAGTTCGACCGCCGGCACCGGAAGCCGTTCGAGGACGTCCCCTTGGACCTCTTGAGGGCCCCCTGGAGGGTGTGCGGGAGGCAGAGGTGGAAACGGCCCTCGACGTCTATGCCGGCCCTGGAAGCGGAGGCGCTTTTGTACGGGGTTCGCCACCTCCTGAGGTCCGTCGCCAACTTGGGCTCGAGGCTGCTCGTGATAGGGGACTCGATCTCCGCCTCCCTGGCCGCCACGAAGGGGCGGTCCTCCTCCGATGGCATGCTCTCGGTGACCCGCCGACTGGGCGCCCTGCTGTTGGGGACCGGCAGCCTCCTGCGGTCGCGCTGGATCGCGTCGGAGCTCAACCCTGCGGACGGGCCGTCGCGCGGCCGTCCGGCGCCGAGCGACCCGCTTGCCGGCCTGCGGCGCGAGCTCGCGGCCGCCGCCGACGAGGGCCGCGATGCTGGCGCGCGGCAGGTCCGACAGGTCGAGGACCCCCGCGGGCCGCCTGCCGCCGCCGCCCAGCTCGGGGTCGGCCTCCCGCCCGGCCTTGGCCCCCCTGGAAGCTGGGGGCCCGCGGGCGGCAGCGGCGCGGGCGCGGGCGGAGCGCGCTGCCGGGCTGGCTGCGGCGCGGGCCCCAGAGGCCCAGATGAGTTTGCTTCGGAGGGCCTCGGTGTCGGCGAAGACGCAGGCCCAGTACTCTCTCTACCTGGCCGCCCTGCGCAGGTTCTGCAACTCCCGCGGGGACCACCCGATCACCGAGGAGGAGTGGGACAACGCCACCGCGGGCTTGATGGAGATCATGTTCATGGAGGGCGGCTCGTTGAGCGCGGGCGAGAAGCTCCTGGCGTCGGCGCAGTGGGCCGAGCCCCGCCTCGGCAGGCTGGGGGGCGGGCGGATGCCCATCTGTCGGCAGTGCCTGCGAGGCTGGCGCCGTGCTGCCCCGGCGGGGGACCGCCTGCCCCTGCCCTATGACGTGGTGGCGCTGCTGGCGTGCTGGATGATCTGCCAGGGGCTGAGACCCCACGCGCTGGCGATCCTCATGATGATGGAGCTGTACTTGCGCCCGGGAGAGCCATTCCTGCTACGGGGCCGCGACGTGGCGGCGGGGGCCTTCAGCGGAGCCCGCGAGTGGACCCCCACATCGGTCCTCCTCCACCCGTTCGAGATGCGGACCCCGTCCAAGAGCCAGGAGTTCGACCAGACGATCGTCCTCGACCTCGACCGGCAGGCGGCGCTCGCGGACGCCCTGGTGCAGCTGGGGCTGGAGCGCAGCGAGGGGCCCTTGCTGGATGTGTCGCCCAGCGCCCTGCGCCGGGCCCTGGACGAGGCCGCGGCAGCCTGGCGCCTGGGGCCCCTCGGGCCGCTCGACGCCTACCGCTTCCGGCACGCGGGGGCGAGCGTCGACTTCGCGACCGGCGCCCGGCGGCTGGAGGAGATCCAGCGCCGCGGGCGGTGGCGGTCCGCTCGGAGCCTCCGCCGCTACGAGCACGGGGGGCGACTGGCCGACCTCCTGCGCCGCCTGCCGCCCGACGTGCAGCGGGCGGCCGCGGCGGCCGCTCGGGAGCTCCCCGACGTGCTGCGGGGGAGGCGGATGCCATCTTTGGGCCGCTGAGGGCGCCGACCATCGCCGTGTTCCTCGAGCTGTTCGCGGGCTCGGGCCACCTGTCCGACGCCGTGGAACGGGGAAATGTCCCCACCTTGCGTTGGGACATCTTGTACGGCCCCGCCTACGACCTGCGCGACCCCAGGAACGCCCGCCTCATTCGGGGCTGGATACGGGCGGGGCTCGTCTGCGGCCTGCATGCTGGCTTTCCCTGCGAGACCTTCTCGCGGGCACGAGACCGCCCCAACGGCCCCCCGCGGCTCCGGTCCCAGGAGCACGTCTGGGGCCTGCCCAGTCTCCCCGTCGGGGGCGCCGACTTCCAGAAAGTGAAGTGGGGCAACTTGTACGCGCGGCTCACGATATCCTTCTGCGTGCTGTGCTGCCAGTGTTTCGTCCCCTGGTCCCTCGAGAACCCCGCGCTGAGCTACGCGTGGCAGCTGCCGCCGATGCTGTCCCTGCTCCAACGCCGGCAGGTCACGTCCCAGGTGATCGAGTACTGCCGGTTCGGGGCGCCCTGGAGGAAGAGCACCAAGATCGTTGCGTTTCTCCTCGACCTGGCGCCCTTGGCCAAGTTCAGGTGTGTGGGGCCCGTCTGCGTCCTCACAGGGCAGAGGCATCAGGAGCTGTCCGGGAAAGACGCCTCGGGCAGGTTCCGCACCAAGTTGGCGGAAACATATCCTCGAAAGCTCTGCAACATTCTCGCCAGAGCGTATGCGGATGAGAAGGCCAGGTCCCGGGCTGGGCAGTTCTCCGCTCTGATAGGCCGTGCTGCTCGAGCGCTTTCCGACTCGTGAATAATAATTGATGCATTCTCGGCGTAGCCAGTTTAGCTGTGCAATTTGCAGCATTTTGGATGTGTCCGAAATTTCAGTTGATGTCCGTGGCCGCCCGCGGATCGGAGATCCCCTGGCGGCAGCCTCTTGCGCCTGCAGCGTCTCGAAGCCTCGCCACCTGGCCTGCCTGAGCTGGAAAAAGGGAGCATAAATCGTTCTCTGAACAGGGTTGCTCCTTGGGAAGCGTTGCTGGCCGCCCGTCTGCGATCTTCCGTTGACGTTTCGCTCAAGCTCCCTCCCTCCCCCCCTCGCTTTCCCTCTTTCTCTGCATGAGTCCGAAATTTCAGTTGATGTCCGTGGCCGCCCGCGGATCGGAGATCCCCTGGCGGCAGCCTCTTGCGCCTGCAGCGTCTCGAAGCCTCGCCACCTGGCCTGCCTGAGCTGGAAAAAGGGAGCATCCTTTTCCTCCCCATGTTTCTTCTCATCTCCCTCCTAGTCCTCCTCTTGCTGCCTCCTCACGCATGCTCCCCCATTGTCCCCCTTGTCCCTCCCCTGGACATACCCAGAACTCCGACGTCGTGATATGCTCGCACCGTGGATCCCCGGAGGTCTTGGCGCCCCGCTCCCCTGGACCAGTTTCTCGGCCCAAGTCGTTTTCTGACGGTCTCAGGGCCCGCTTTGGGCCCTGCGAGGCCGAAAGCTGCACAAAGCCGCCCACCTTGATTTTTGATAGCAGCGAGAGGAGGTGGGGATATCTCCCCTCCTCCTGTTCCCCCCCCATACTCCCTCCTCCTCCTCCTCCTCCTCCTCCTCCTCTTCCTCCTCCTCCTCCTCCTCCCCCTCCTCCAGCCATGCCGGCGCGAGCTGATTCAGTGTTGCAAGTCGCGTTTGTGTCCACGTTCTTCGAAGTGGCGTCGTGGGCACGAGCCAAACTACGAGTGCGGTCAAGACCGCCGTCCTCTTTCTTTCACGACAGTGGCATGGGACAGCCCAACAGGCGCAGCCAAAATGCGCAGAAGTGGCGCTGCAAATCCTGTGCTAACGACAAAACAGGGAAGCAGTGGTGGAACAGGGCCGAAACAGTATCCAGTCACTTCTGCGGCATCGAGAAGGGGCGCTGTTTTCTTCGCAACCTCGTTGAGCCTGCTACTGCGCCCAGCGTCACTGTTCCGAAACCTGCCGCCCTCGCAGCCAAGGATCGCGAGCTCGAGCAGATGCGCAAGCGGGTCCAGGGCTTAGAGACCAAGCTGCGCACCCGCCCCGACACCAGCGAGGCCGGGCGGCAGCAACGGCGCCATGGACGTCGACGGCGAGGGCGCTTCTGTCGAGCCGAGCGGCCAGGGCGAGCTGCACAAGAAGCTGTAGTGCCTGGACGGCATGGTCTCAGTTATGGCCGCGCCTGATAAGTCTATGGAGGTCGACCCGACCACGCTCCACGGCTACCAGCAGCACGTCGACCGCAGCGCACAGATCCGCGCGGAGCTCGCCGCTGCTCGCCCTCTCTCGTCCAAGGCGCATGATTTCGCCAAGAAAATCACAGCTGCGGGCAAGGCCATCGATAAATTGGAGGCCGGCCTCGCAGCAGAGCAACAACATATCGTTGAGAGGCAGGCTCGGGTTACCGAGATGCAGGAGCAGATCAATGCTAAGAAAGCCGCTTAGCTGGAGCTGAAGCGTCAACGCTTGGAGCTGCTGCAGAGTCTCGTGCTTGCCGAGGAGGCCGAGAGCACCGCCGACACGGTGCTCGAAGGTTTCGCAGCGCACCTGGCCGAGCTCCAGTCGGTCATGCCACAGTTGGGTGCAGGCCAGGAGCTGTCCGAGCTATGCGCGCAGCACGCGGCGCCCTTCGTCGAGCGCGCTCGCAAGGCGCGCGCGGACAAAGCCGCCGAGGCACAGGCGCAAGGAGCAGCGCCTGCCCCTGCGCCATCTGCTCCTGCCGATGACGGCGAGCACCGCCCCGCACCTGATTTCGACATGGATGATATGAACCTGGAGGAGGTCAAGGCTTTCATGGCTGACTGCGGAGTGGAGGTTCCCAAGGAGGAGCCAGAGATCCGCATTCTGGCCAAGCGTCTCGCCAAGACGTTCCATTACTTCGCCCCGAGAGCCAAGAAGAAGGCGTTCTCTGTCCCCATGACGGGACCGCCATCGCCGCATGCCGCTCGGAGCCTTTGGGCGCCGTGGAGCGCGGGCATACGAGGACTGGGAGTGGCCTGAAGATGGCATGTTCTGTTCTTCGGGTTCCGCCCCGCACGCTTCTTCTTTGCGCTCTCATGATGATGACTGGGGTGCGCTCTGCGTCTGGCGCCTCCGCAGGCGCGTGGGCTCACGGAGGCCTCGGCGCGCCGCCTGTCGCGGCGGCCCTCGGCGGCGGGCCGCTCGCGCCCCCCGCCTCACCAGACGCCCTCGGGGAGGTAGCCCCGACTTCCTCTGACGGTTGGCCAGCGCGACAGCGGCGGCGACATGCTCGGAAACGCAGGGGAGCGGACCGGGGCGAGCGGCGGCTCGACACGATGGAGGGCCGCCAGCCTGGCGGCACCGACGGGGCCACCGCCCCCAGCAAGAGGCTCATCGCGACGGTGAACGTCACTTCCCACGGCTGCCTGTTCGACTATCTGCCTGGAGCGGTGGCCAAGGTGCTGCCGGTGCAGGAGCACCACCTGCTGGCTGACAGGACCCCGCAGGCCCAAACCAGGGCTCGCGACTTGGGCCGGCATGGCCACTGGGCCCCTGCCCTCCCCAGCGACAAGACTGAGAGCGGCGCGGTCGCGGGCGCGGCGATCCCGGCGCGCACGGACGCCATGATCACGGCGCCCGAGCTCGACGAGGCGCAGCCTGTGATTGGTCGGCTCCTCTTTGCACGTGTCCACTGGGGCGTGCCAGGAGGCTTCGTAGCGGGCAGCCTCTACTTGGACCAGGACGGAATGGCCCCCATCAGCTCGGCGCACATCTGGAACATGGCCAAGACGGTCTAACGCCCTCAGCCGTGATTGGGTGGTCGGAGGTGACTGGAACAACGAGCCCGCGGCCGCCCTCGCTTATCCTTGGGCGCAGTCCGTGGCCGCGCTGCCTTTGCGCGTGCACTGCCGACTCGTCTGCCCCAGGCACCATCATCGACTACCACGTTGCGCCGGCCAGCCTGTCGGCCCGGTTACGCCGCGACGCGGAGGTGGACGAGGGCGCCGACTTCTACCCGCACCGCCTCATCTTGCTGGAGGCGATGGTACAGGACGCGCCGATGCGGCGACTGGTACATTGGGCGCGAACGGCGCAGGCTGCGAGACTTGGTGACCACGTCGCAGCTTGCCTTCACCACGGCGGCTTTCTCGCCTGAGCAGCGCACGGTGCCCCTCACGGCCTTCTCCGACGCGCTGAGGTTTCTTGCCAGAGCACTCCGCAGCCGCGTGGTCCATGCCAGCCCCCCGATGCAGTTGGTTCCCTTCAGTCGGGCCTGGTCGCGCCGGTCGCGCCGACCTTCGACGGCCTGCGCGAGTCGGCGCAGGAGGATCCCCTGACCCGCGCCGTGCTCGACCAGCAGGCGAGCCGACGCGCCTGGACCACATGGGCCAAGCAGGCCTTTTTCGGGTGGTGCCTCCGCTGCACACATGGCCTCCAAGGTGCCCTCTGTCGACGAGATGGCCCCTTGGCTACGGCTGCGCGACGGGGCCCAGCCCTGCGCGTTGATCGACAGGGACTTGGCCTCGTGAAAGGGGATCTGGTCGCACCGTGCCTGCGTCCAGCTGGAGCGGCCCGCCGAGGTGGACGAATGCCCCCCCCCCCCCCCCCCCCTTTCAGCACTCGAGGCGCGGGCGGTCGCCCTGTCCTACCCAGGGGCCGCTGCCGCGGGGCCGATTGAACTCCACCCGCGCTCCTTGCGGCACCTCTCGGACAAGGCGCTCGCGGCGATGGCGAGGTTATTCATGCAATTCGAGCTGGTCTTGGACTGGCCGAGGGACCGCCTCTGGGCCATGATGCGCCGCATCCCGAAGCCCGAGTCAGGCCATCGCCTCATCGCCGGCCTGGGCCCCTCCCACCGGATCCGGCACCGCCTGCGCCGCCCGCTCACCAGGGCCTGGTCCGCCGAGCACCGCTTCGAGGAGGCGCGGGGCACGCGCAGCCGCTACATCAGCAGCGACAGCGCGTTCGAGCACAACCTGCAGGCCGAGATCGGCGTCCTCAAGGGCCAGTTCGTGGTCACGGCCCTGCTTGACCTCACGAAGGCTTGCGACATGGCACGCCCTGCCCAGCTCCACCAAGAAGGCCTGCGCTGGTGTTGCCCCCCGCGGATGCTATGGATGTTGATTCGGCAGTGCAGGCTGCCGCGCCGCCTGGAATGCTACGGCTCGGTCTCCAACGCCTTCGCGTCCGAGCAGGGCTTCTTCGCTGGATGCACGCCCGCTGGCGGCATGCTCGAGCTTCTCACCTCGCGGGCCCTCTTGAGGATTAGGGGGGCCCCCGTGAAGCTCAGCCCGAGGACGCTGGTCGACGACGTCTCCATCCAATGCGTTGGCGATGACCACTGCGGGGCCGTTCACCTGGACAGGGCGGCGCAGCTGTTCCAGGCGGACTCCGCGCCGCTCGGCGCCGTCTTCAACCTGAAGAAGTCTGGGGTCGTGGCTGCTACCAGGACCGCGCGCGCGGCGGTCAGGAGGTCGCGCGGGCGCCTCCCTCTCCGACCCTGGGCGCGCAATCTCGGCCACGAGACCACGGGCGCCAGGCCAGCGCGACATCGAGAGCGCCAGCGGTCCAAGCAGCTCTTTCAGCGCGAGCATCGGCTGAACATGTTTCGCGGTGCCGCAGGCCGCAACGCTTCTATCTTATGGCGGTCTGGAGCTCAGCCTTCCATCGGCCACGGCGCTGGAGTCTCTGGGATGCCAGACGAGGTGCTGAAGCAGACGAGGTCCCTCGCGGCCATGCTGGTCGGGCCCCCTGCTCGCGCCTCCAACGCGCCGTACTTGCACTGCCAGTGGCAGCAGCGGTGCGACCCGATCTTCGACGCGACCACACCCATCCTCTGCTGCTTCCACTGCTTCATCTGGGACGGGCGGGTGCTCCCAAGCGACGTGCGCTACGCTTGGGCTGAACTGGTTCCTCGCGCACCGGCAGGCCTCTCCTGGGCGGGCGCGCGAGGCCTGATGGCGGCCGTGCTTCTCGCACGTCGACGCAACGGCTGAGAGTACGAGTCACCAATTCGTTGGCGGGACGACCTGGGCCAGATCTACGACTTGCTGCAGGTGGCCCCCCGCTGACACGCGCAACTTCTTGGAGGCGTCGGTCAAGCGCTGGCAGATGGGCAAGCTCGTCTCCGCGCTCTTCGCGACCGAGGAGACCTACGCCGACGCGCGGGAGCGGGCGCTGAGACTGGGGCCGACAGAGCTTCCGCCCTCGCAGCTCGGTGCGCTTCGCGCGCTCTGGGCCGACCGCCCCCCGACAGCGGCGAGGTGCGTCGCGCGGGGCCGCCGCTTCGAGCCCTCGTGCCAGGCACGTTCGGAGCCAGACAGCAGCCGCGGACGCATCTGGCGCGCACGCCCCGCTCTCGAGGCACCCGACGAGAAAGAACAGACGATGGAGCGCGATGTTCTGCCGGACAAGTTTCTTTCTCATCGGAAAGCGCTCTGCGCCTTAGCGGGCCCCTTAGGTAATCCCAGATATAGCACGTTGTATCTGTCTCATGGCCTGCCCAGGCTGTCTGTAGCCACCCCTCGGCCACCAGAGATGCCTGAGCGCCGGGGGCGGGGCGGCGCGCGAGGGGGTTGGGGGCCAGTGACGTTCGGGGGCGGGCGTGCTCAGGGATCCTAGGTGCCAGAGGTGCGCAGGGCTGGCTGGTCGATTGTGCAACTCTCCTCGGACCTCCTCCCTGCGCGAGCACGGTTTGGCAGCCTCGCTGGACCCATGCAAACAGTCGGTCGTGCCGAGCGCACCGCTGCGTTGGAGGCCTTCCGCGTGGATCCAGCTTTGAAGGTGCATGTCTCTGATCTCATGGCTCTTGTCCGCGAGGGACAGATGGGACCCCGAGCTAGCTTGTGGCATGCGGAAATATGCCGCGATCTGAAGGTCGGAAAGAGCGTGTTCTACCGCTGCTGGCGGAAAACCGGGGGGGGGGGATCACTACCGGTTCGAACCCCTCCCCCCCCCCCCCTCCGGAAAACTGGGAGGGGGTCACTACCGGTTCGAACTCCTCCCCCCCCCCCAGCTCATCATGAAAAGGGGGGGGTCACTACCGGTTCGAACCCCCCCCCCTCGAAAACTGGGGGGGGTCACTGCCGGTTCGACCCCCCCCCCCCTCGAAAACCGAGTGGGGGTGCGGACAGTGGTGGGGACGGTGTTGGTGGGGACAGTGGTGAGGGGACAGCGGTACAGTGGTGGGGACAGTGGGACAGTGGGACAATGGTGGGGACGGTAGTGGTGGGGACAGTGGTGGGGACAATGGTGGGAACGGGGGGGACAGTGGACAGTGGTGGGGACGGTGGTGGTGGGGACAGTGGTGTGGGGACAGTGGGAATGAGGTGGAAACAGTGGGACAGTGGAGGGTACAATGGTGGTGGGGACAGTGGTGAAGGCGGTGGCGAGGACGGCGGTGGGACAATGGGACAGAGGTACAGTGGGGACAGTGGTGGGGACAGTGGGGACAGTGGTGGGAACAGTGGGACAGCTCAGTGGGACAGCGGAGGGGTCAGTGGGACAGTGGGGACAGTGGGGATAGTCGGGCAGTGGTTGGGTCCGTGGAGACAGTGGGGAGAGTGGAACCGTGGTGGGAACAGTGGTGGGAACAGTGGGGACAGTGCGACAGTGGTGGGGGCACTGGTGGGGACAGTAGGGACGGTGGTGGAACCAGTGGGGACAGCGGCGCTGGGAACAACAGTGGGGGCACTGGTGGGGACAGTGGTGCTGGGAACAACAGTGGGGGATGTAATGCGGACGGTGGTAGGGACCGGGACTCGTTTGCTGGCGGTGCGTGGGGGGGGGGGGCGAACCGGTAGTGACCCCCTCCGGTTTTCGAGGGGGGGGGGGGTTCGAACCGGTAGTGACCCCCCCCGGTTTTCGGATCCGGAGGGGGGGGGGGGAGGAGTTCGAACCGGTAGTGACCCCCCCCGGTTTTCGAGGGGGAGGGGAGGGGGGGGAGGGGTTAGGGGAGGGGGGGGTTGCCGCGGGGGGAAGGGGGGGTGGGGGGGGGGGATTTTCGGAGGGGGGGGGGGCGACCCCTGGGTTCCGGAGGAAAAGGCTGGCAATTTTTCACAGTAAAGCGGCGGTGGATCACGCTCTCTCGAAGGTCGATCTTCGCTCAGGCCGATAAACGGACCTCCCTCGCCCCGATCTCCTCTGCGTGGACCCCGCCCACCTCTCGTTAGAGCAGGCCTATGAGAGAGGATGCGACCTTGCAGCGCGGGTCGGCAATGTGTGGGCCGATTTCTTTTCCAAAATCGCGTCCCGTTGGTCTATGGTCTCCCGCGGGCTTTGCAAAGCCATCGAGGGCGAGCGTCAATTCCATAGAACCACGTTGCAGTATGTCTCATGGGCTGCAGCCAGGGTTGTTAGGCTTAGGCGTTGGACAGACATCCCTCCTCCGCCTCCGCCTCCGAAGGCCCTCCCCGTCCGCGCGTTGTCGCTATATGAGCATCAGTTTTACTTGGACACTCGTTCGGGCGAAGTCAGGTGTGGCAGCTGCTTTGTTGGGGCGCGTTCTGCCAGCACCCTCGCCCGTCTGCGTAACGGTTCCCAGCGATTTTGTCGCAGGAACGCGCTGGCGGCCTGGAGGGCCAGCGAGTGGCTCAGGGAGGCGGGGCCCCACGCCCAGGCAATCCAGGCTGAGGCCGTGTGCTTCGCCCTCGCCGCCGCTGCCGCTGCGTCTGCCCCTGCCGCTGTCATTGCTGTGCCTCCTGCGCCTCCGCCCCCTCCTCTGCATGAAAAAGACTGGGGCGGCCGCCCTCCAGGAGTTTCGTAATCGCGGCCATGCAATGGCCCAGATTGGCAGCGCTTGCATATGCGCAGCCTGTTCTGGCTTCCTTATCCTGCCTCGTGGGGTCCCGCGGGCCCTCCTCGACGTTTGTCGTGGTCCTTCGGTCGTGCCTTCGGCTCGCGATAAGCAGGTGAGGAAGCTGGAAAGGGCCCGTGCGGGCCTGCACCCGTCCACGGGGTCTGCCGTGGACTGATTTGGCGTGCTCCTGGCCTGGCCCTGTCTTTCTGCCCGGCCGTGGTCAGCCCCGATTGGCCAGTCTGGTAGGGACCAGCACTCGGCCGAGTGTTGATCCCTACCAAAACGTCGTTCTGACGTTTACTCCATGTTTGTAGTGCAGTTTGTTCATAGCCCGTCGTTGTTAGTGCAAGATGACGACGCTTCGGCCGGCGCCCACCTCCTTCTCCTCCTCCTCCACCTCCTCCTCCTCCTCCTCCTCCTCCTCCTCCTCCTCCTCCGTCTCCTCCTCCGTCTCCTCCCCTTCCTCCTCGTCCTCCGCCTCCTCCTCCTCCTCCTCCTCCTCCTCCTCCTCCTCCTCCTCCTCGCTCCCTCCTTCCGCTGTCCCCTCCTCCTCCTTCCTCCCTCCTCCCCCCCGAGGCCGTCGAGAAGACGCGCGGGCTGGAATTTCTGCGCCTCGGCGGCCAGTGCATCACCGCCCTGGAGAAGTACGCGGCGCCGCGCGCCTACGAGATGTACCTCAAGAAGCGCGCGGAACGGCACTCGTGGCGCCTCGTGAAGGACCCGCCTCCTCCGGCTCCTTCTCCTCCGCGTTCTCCTCCTCCTCCTCCTTCTCCTCCTCTTCCTCTTCCTCCTCCTCCTTCTCTTGCTCCTCCTCCTCCTCCTGCTCCTCCTCCTGCTTCTCCTCCTCCTTCTCCTCCTCCGTCCGCCTCCTTTTCCTTTTCCTTTTCCTCCTCCTCCTCATCATCATCAGCATCAGCATCATCATCATCAGCATCATCATCATCATCATCATCATCATCATCATCATCATCATCATCATCATCATCATCATCATCATTATCACTATCATCATCATCATCATCATCATCATCATCATCATCATCATCATCATCATCATCATCATCATCATCCTTCGCCTCATCCTCTTCAATTCCTTTTCCTTCTGAATACCTCCCCCTGTCGCACCCCGAGGCCGGTCGAAAGGGCGGGCCGGGCGTTTCGCTTGAGATCGCCTCACCATTTATGACCTTGAAGCGTAACAGTTGACTACAGCTTCACAGATTGAGGGCGGGTGTTTTTCAAAATGTGGCTCTCGCATTAGCGCTTCGCACATTCGTTTTCAAGCTTGTAAGGCCTTCACGAATTGAGGGCGGATCGTTTTCAAAATGTAGTTCTCGTCTTAGTTCCACCCTCATTCGTTCTCAAAATCTTTCACGCTTCGCGTAACCCCACCAGGATTTGTGAAGGTGACTGTGGCGGGTTGCCTTGCCAGTGTGGTGCCTCGCCCGTGCTTCTCGGCGCACCTTCCCTTCACCGGTACCGACTCGTCCGTTGGCCGCCGCCAGCCTCACAGCTCTGTAGTGGTGTTCGCTGGCTGCGCGCTGAGTGGTCCAGCCTTCAGCGCCGTCAGCCAGTTTTACACCCCCAGCAGCCGGTTCTCCGTGCTGGTGCCAGTTGTTTGTCTGGGGTGTTGCTCGGAGCTTGGCGCCGCAAGGGCGACGTTCCGTTGCACCCGCACCTTTGCGCGCTCGTTCTTTTGGACCGGGCGGCGCCTAGGTGCGTCTCGGCGAATGCGGAGCATTTTGCTCAGTGCACGTGCGCCGCACCTTGTGTGGAATTAGCCTGTTCCGCCGTCCCGGGCACGCTTGTTGCCGCCAGACCGTTGTCGCGCGGCCGCCGACCAAAAAAGTAACCCCACCAGCTCATCCAGCAACGATGTCCAGGCCGTTGCAAAGATCAGGGACATGGGTGAGCACGCAGAGAAACAAAGGGCGGGGGAAGCCGTCATGCTGCAAGAGGGGGAAGCTGGGGGAGGAGTCGGAAGAGGGGGAGGGGGAGGAGGGATGAGGGAGGAGGAATAGACGGATGGAGGGGGGGAGAGGGAGACACCGAGCGTGGAAGGAGGGGAGGGGGAGAAGGGTGTTGGACCATCATGGAGGCTATATTGGAGCCTTCTTGGGGCTGTTTTGAGGGGTCTTGGGGTCCTCTTGAGGCAATCAGGGGACCTCTTGGGGCCCTCTTGGGGCTCTTTGGGGGTGTCTTGTGGCCCTCTTGGGGCTCTTTCGAGGCGTCTTGGGGCGCTCTTGGGGCCCTCGTGGGGCTCTCTTTGGGTCCTCTTGGGAGCTATGGGGCGCCTCCTGGGGCCATGTTGGAGACCATCGGTCAAAGGAGGGGGGGATCCTCATGTGCGTCCCCCCATCCAGGGCCATCAAGATCCTCTTAGGGTGTTTTTGGGGCTCTCTCGGGGCGATTTTGGGCGCGCTTGGGGCAGTCTTGGGGGCCTATTGGGCCCTTTTTCTCGGAGCTCTCCTAGGCCTTCTGAGGACCATCTTGAGGCTTCAAAAGCGCATCGGAAGCGAAGTGGTAAGAAGACAGATCTCAGTGAGTTGTCTTAGGTGTTTGAAGGACTTGGGTTTCTCGGGGAGGTCCCGAAGGGTCTCCGAAGGCACCTGGATCCGTCTTGTGGCCCTCTTAGGGCCTCTTGGAGGCATGTCGGAAGCAATATGGAATCATCTTCGGCTGTATCAAGGCATCTTGGAGGCTATCCTGGAGCATCGGAGCGAGAAAGGACCCTCTGATGACTCGCGGTCCCCCCCGTCCAGGTCCAGGGGAGGGGGCAGGGGGAGGGGCAAACCCTGCCCCATGGGGGAAGAAGGAGTTGCTGGAAGAGGAAGCAGACATCGTAAGACCACTTGTCTCCCAGAGGGCTGGTGTGCGCCCAGTACAGCGCTTTGTGGCCCCATAGGGAGCTCCACCGAAGGTCCCACTGGCGCAATTCGCATGCGTTTCCCCCACCCAATACAGCGCTTCTTGGCCCCAGAAGAGAGCTCCACCGAATTCCCCATTCGCGCAGTTCGCATGTGTTTCCCCCACAGTACTTCGTTTCGTAGCCCAAGAGGGAGCTCCACCGAAGGTCCCAGCGGAGCAGTTCGCACACGTCTCCCCCACCCAGTACACCGCTTCGTGGCCCCGTAGGGAGCCCCACCGAAGGCCCCAGTGGCGCAAATCGCATGCGTCTCCCCCACCCATTACAGCGCTTCGTGGCCCCAGAGGGAGTTCCACCGAAGGCGATACCCACAACTGCAGTACTCATAACTGCACATGGTTGGGTCCTTCGCCCGGCTATTTTTTCAGACAAAGCAAAACATGCAAGGAATTCGCAGATTGAGGGCGCTTCCGTTCCAAATTGTAGGTATCATTTTCGCGCCGCGCATATTCGTCTTAAGCGTTTGCAGAAGTTAGGGATTCCCATGGGCAACGTTCCAGGAATCAGCAACGTTGAAGACGCAACAGTTACGTTGACTCGCGGCGTTGGAAGTCCCAGGAATTGTGTTCCAGCATGATTCCGGATCGTCAATACGCAACAGTCATGTTCATTCGTGGCGTCGGTGTTCCGAAAATGGTGTTGCAACGCGCTTCATGGTCTTCAAACAGTTGTCTCACAACGAGGCAGTTCCCTCAGTCGTAATGAACTCTTGTACAGGGGGGCCTATGACGAGGGAGTTTGGTGGGAGGGTGCGTTCCAACCTCGTTGGTGAGTCTTGGGTTTACACAGGTTCTCCTCCTCCTCCTCCTCATATTCCTCCTCCTGGGTCGCGAAGCACCCGCAGTTTGGCAGCTTCGTGGAAGATCTGATTGAAACCGTTGGGTTGTCCCACGAGCCTCCCGAGCAGGTATCAAAAGTGAAGGAGATATTCCACCTTGCTGCTGGGAGTGTCCGCCGATACGTAGAGATCGCTGGTGCTGACACCAAGGCCGAAAAGGCCGCCTGCATGTTGACGCTGACCAGAGCTGACCGCACCCGCAGCCAGAGACATGCTCGGAGAGCTTGCCAAGTGTATATGAAGATTTACGAGTTGTTTGCAACCCTGAGACCATGGGCTGGCTGGACCACAAGAGGTTGCATGATTCTTGCCGCCTGGGCCTTTCGGAGGCCGAGAATTAAGCTCGCCGCCGTCAAAGGTCCTGACGGCCAGGTGCATACTGATGCCGATGAAGCCGCTGCCCGTCTTGCCGAACACTGGCGGGAAGTCTTTGACGAGTCCGAACAAGTTCCGCCCCCCCCCCAACATCACCCGCTTGATGATTTGATTCAAGAGGGCGACGGGGAGGGAGAACAATTCGTGAACACTACGCATCAAAGGTTTGATTGGATCATATCCGTGGAACAGAATTGTCGCCTGCTGTCCGCCAAGAGAGATTCTGCGTCGGGGCCCGACGGTGTTCCCTATTCCGCTTTGCAGTGTCCAGGGAAGCGTGCGCAGGCCGCTTTTTACCATCTGTACATGCACCTCCTGGATGGAGGCAGTTTGCAGAACGATGTCAACGCATGCCGCGCGGCATTTCTTCCCCAAGGTGATTTGAGGGTGGAGGGGGGAGGTGCGAGATCCAGCTGCCGTTCGTCCTTTTACCTTCATCGGACACAGATAACAAGCTAGTGAGCGCCGCCATCGCACCCGCTCTGAATGAGGTTGCCGCCGACAAATGTCACGAAAGCCAGCGGGGATTTGCACGGGGGAGGATGATGAATGACAGCAGTATTAACATGGATGGGATGTTTACAGTGTGGGGGGCGGTATTTAAGGAGCCGCACTGTGGCTTCACGCTCTTCGACTTAACGAACGCCTTCCCGAGTGTTTGCCAGACCTGGATCATGAAAGTATTGAGCTCCATGGGGTTCCCTGCATATACTGTCTTTGCCGCCGCCTCATTATATGACGGGGTATGGACGGTGGCTACCATTGGGGACGTTGGGAAGCATGGGTATTGGGCCAGGCGGGGGATAAAGCAGGGATGCCCCGTGGGTGGGTTTATGTTTGCGCTTGTGGCCGACCCTCTGCTTCGCTACATTGCACACTTCACGCCAGCACTCGACGTCGAGCTCGGAGGCTTTGCTGACGACATATACTCGGTCACCAGAGATGTGTCAAGGTTCACCCGAGGGTTGTTGAAAGGATGGCCGCGACATCGGTGATTCAGGTGCTCATCTTCAACAACAGTGTGTAATAGTCATGCTTCACCTAGAGGAGACCAAGAGGATCCAGGAAGTGTTCGGCGTCCACGGTCTTGATGTTTTCAGTTTTCAGATTCGGAAGTCTGGTTGGGTACGAAGCCTTCTCTGAGGCCTGGTTCTATGTTTACGCCAAACGCAGGACAAGTACTGAGGACGTCAGGAAGCTAGGTCTTAGTTTCATCCAGTCCATCCAGGGGTACAACACGCATGCGCTGCCCGTCATCTCCCATGTTGGCCAGTTTTACCCGCCCTCCCCGGCGCTGCTCCGATGCGAGAGGTAGGCTCACCAGGTTCTTCCCGTTCTCTTCGGCACGCCTTTCCTCCCAAAAGTATGTTCAAACTGAAATATGTGGGCTTCCTCTCCAGTGTCGTTCCGTGGAGATTCTTGCGCAGAGCATCGATGCTCAAGGCTGCCATTTGTTCCGATCAGTTCGCCATCACGCAGGTGCGCTATCAAGCTTCTCTGGGAGATGACGAACACGTGCCAGCATACAAGTTCAATGCTTTCTTCGAGCAACCCATCTTCTGGAAAATGAGGAAAGTG